TACTAACAAGATAGTTCAAAAAAATAAAGAATATAAGAACAAATAGAAGTTTCAATAATATAAAATAGCTCACAAGATCTAGATAACTGGAAGCTTGATCAATGCTTCTGTATTGGACTTCTTGTACAGCCCATTGATCTTGATTTGATGCTGAAAAATCTTAAGAGACATCCCACAAAATAAAAATGTTCTGATTAAGGCAAAAAAGGTTTGTAATTTCACCAATATGATCAGAACAGAGTGTCTAGTTTGATTTGATAATTTAATAATAGACCTTATCAAACCAGTTATCACAAGATTTACTATTGTTTATCTGACTTTACAAAATAATCATTGAGTGAAAAATCAATTCGAGGTAATACTTACTTCCCAGAACTGAAATGGTAATGCATGAGCCAAAAAAAGAGAAGAAAACAAATGAAAAAGAAATCACAAGATATACCACTTTTTAAGATAGTGTGATGTATGATTTTAAAAGAACAAAGCCATTAGATGCAGTATTAAGAATAATTGGTGGCAAAATGTGTCCTACAATAAGCTTTTATCTATGGTGTTATAACAATGAAAAAGTAACACAATACTTGAGCAAGAAGAGTAAGCTTATCAAATTATATGGAGAGTATTAATAAAAAATGGGACAAACAATTACATATTTAATTGCAGCTGCTAGATAATTCTTAAATATTATATTCTTTTCTGAAAATAATTTTATGAATGTAGAGAGTATAAAATGGATTTGTATAAATGTACAGAGAGTGATAGACTCGTCAAAAGATTTTAAGAAGTTTGACAAATAGCTTAAAGAATTCATCACAAAAACTGAATTATTTCTCATGAGAACTACCTATTTATCATGTAAAACACGTTCATTTGCTAGGATACATCAACTCTAATAATGAACTTATGATTAATGTGTTAAATATATAATTGATATTATATTAACTCTTAATTTAGAAGGTTGGTAATGCACTACAGAGAAAAAAAACATCACAAGTAGAAACATTTGCAGTCAAATCCTAAGACCTCACTTGATTAAGGTTCTTCTTTATAAGAGTTTGTTTGAAAACAAATTCAAGGAAAACAATATTTTAATTTTTTTTGTTTTTAAAAGAGGGTGATCTTGTTTTGATAAATTGCCTTTCTTGTTGCTTCTCGAACGAAAAAGCGCTTTAGCACATCTTTGACTAAACTAGTTGTAGTTATTTCACATAAAAGATTAAACCACCCTTCTTATTAATAAATAACAAATCTCAATTCTTCCATTAATTTAAAAAGTCAAACGGATAGAGACGTAACACAAGGAAGTATCTAGTGTTATAACAAATAAAAAACTAACAAAATTATAATATCCGCAGACTAACAAAATTCAAAACAGAAAAAACTTCAAGGCAAAACATAAGATTCCTATAGAGACAAAAAACTTATAGTATTCCCATGGATTTTCGGTCTTAGCAAAATCGAGACTTGACACAACTTATAGCATTTTTCTATCTTGAAAAGCATTTAGTAATATCTAGCTAAACTACCATAAGAAATCATTGAGATGTTGTGCTCGATAAAAGGATATATATATATATCTATCTATCTATCTATCTGTGTGTGTGTGTGTGTGTGTGTGTGTGTGTGCAATTTCATATATAATTAACATGTGAATTTTTGAAATTTATAACCTAATTATTATTATATTGGTAAGGAGCCTTTCATGGAAATGGGAAATAAATATCATATGCGGTTGATGAGTTGTCATCTCTGTTATAAAAGTAAAAGCTTTTGAACTTTCAAAACCGACATGTAAACATCAAGCTTTGTGAACTGGGACAAGAATATTTTCTAAACTTGTTAAATTCATGACTAAGCAAAGCATAAACCTCTTCATAATCCATAAAAGTTCGTAAAATTGCTAGATGTTGTGCATGGAAATGGTAACTCAATGCCCAAGTTGTTATGGTCCATAACTTAGACGTTTGCCTTGGTAAGGTCAGGCTAATCAAAAATAGTTGTATCAGTTATAAACTAATTAAATTAGAGGTAGAAGAAAATATCCTTCCCCTTTTGAATCTAATGGTCATTTGCGATCATTTTTTATTGTCATTTACTTTTCTACTTTTCACTATTTGTCTCATAAAAAATGTTTCAAAACTATTTTATTGTTTTGGTAACATGGGACGGACATCATGTTTGAATTTAGAAAATTAAAAGATAGTTAATTTGTCATTAAGTGTTTTTTCTACTAATTATTTTTGTAACATCTTCATTTTTTTTTAGTTTTGTTTTCGTAGACTCCATAAAATTTTGCTTTTGTTCACTATATCTCTTAAGTAATCTGTAATTTCTAATATGAAGTGTAGTTTTTTAGTGCTCATAATAAGTATCATTCTTTTTGAAATTCAGGATTGGAAATGAGCGTCACATTGATTTAACCAAAAGAAAAAAAAAAGCATATTTTTTATTTACCAGTGCAGAACTAAACAAGAACCAAAAAGAAGGCAAAAGAAAAAAAAACTTTTCTGTCCACCATACTCTTTAGCAGTGCGGAACCAAGGTTAAAAAAAATTAAAAAAAAAATATTGTGTTCACCACCTTTTATCTACCTCTATAAAATAAAATAAAAACAAAATAGAAAGCCAAAACAAAAGAAAAAACAAAGTTATTGTGTTCACCAAATTCCAAAACGTGAGACGCTGAAGTTAAAAAAATTTTGATAGCAAAACAGCTTCCTTAAGAATTAAGAAGTTAAGCAAAGAGGTGATAACAAATAGTAAAAGATTTTGAAAGGAAGGGAGAGAGTGAAGCCGAAGAATCTTACATGAAAGTTTGAATTGCCTCATAGCAAAGAATGACAAGGGTTTGAGCCATCGAGAGTAGCAGAAACCTTTGACTTGCTGTGTCCCTTAGTTGAAAGGAGTCGGGTAGGTTAACAAAAGTGAAGAAATTGAGATACGTGAGGCTGCCAAAGTTCAAAGAAATTTGATAGCCAAACAGTTTCCTTAAGAAACAAAGAGGCAATGACATGCCGTGAAAGATTTTCAAAGCAAGCAGGAGAGAAAGCTGAAGAATCTTACATGAAAGTTTTAATTACTTGATAGAAAAGAATGACAAGACATTGAGCATGAGTAGTAGAAACCTTTGATATGTTGTGTTCCTCGGTTGAAAAAGTCAGGTAGGTTAACAAAAGTGAGAAAATTGAGATACAAGAGGCTGCCGAAATTCAGAAAAATTTGATAACAAAACAACTTCCTTAAGAATTTAGGTAAAGAGGTATAGAATAAATATTTTCAAAACAAGAAGGAGAGTGAAGCTGAAGAATTTTACATGAAATTTTAAATTACTTGATAGCAAAGAATGACAAGGCTTTGAGCCTTCAAGAGTAGTAGGAACCTTTGATATGATGTGTCCCTTGGTTGAATGAGCCGGGTAGGTTAACAAAAGTGAGAAAATTGAGGTACGAGAGGCTACTAGTTGGAAGTATAGACTAATATGTTCAAATTTCGCATGAGAACAAAATTAGAGCATATTCAAACATACACATGCAAAGAGAAGAAATTATATAATTGTGGCTAGTCATGTGAAGGATAGACATATAAAATAATCTACATGCAAAGATGATGATGATGATAATTGTTCGAATAATGGTGATTTGCCATCAATTGATATATAAGTTATTAACCAAAGATGACCAATAAAATTAAGAAAGTGTTGTTGAATTAGGTGATCGTGAATGTAATGTGACATTTACGCAAATGATGTGATCAAAGTGAAAATTCACAAAGATTCTGTTCATTATAAAATAACAAAAAATTTAATATATATTTTTTTCCATTAGTATACTTATTATAAAAACTTGATGCATAAGAGAAGAATACGAGTGTCTGATGAAGAAAAAATGAATGGGATGACACAGTTGAGAGTGATGAGAGCAATAAAACTATTATGTATCACAATGATTCTTAAGACCATCCTAGTAATTTTAGAAAACTTAATTTTTATGTTTTCTAAATTCAAAAATTCTATTCAATTTTATCAATATAACAATCAGCTTATAAATTGTAATAATTCACATGTTAATCATATATGAAATTGTGCATATATAAATATATATATAAATAAATAAATAAATATATATATATATATATATATATATATATATATATATATCCTTTAATCGAACCCTTCAATTGGAACCATGAACCGACCGAACAAAAGCTCAGCTGAATGAAAAGAATAGAAGGCACTTGATTCGAGGGATAATAAATTAAAGCTAGCTCCCTCGAATGATTCTGAAATTCTTTACAGAGATGGCCAAAGGGCACCCAATATCATTCCATCCTCTGAGAAGACCTCTTATCCAATGAGACTTGACCGTCAGATTACAATAATATACCCTTTGACTAGCAGTCTAAGTTCACCATAACAATGAGAGGGCCTCTATCGAGAATTCTCTTGAGAGGGTCCGTTGAAGACTCTTTAGCCAACCAAAGGCTTTCTAGCCGAATGAACGATTATCGGACGACCGAATGGCAACACCAACAGAACATTAAATGATTTTCCCTTTTGTACCAACATCAGTTATGAATATTAAAGGTCTCACAATCATTATAAATATGAAAAAGCGCATTAAAATGAGACAAAAATGTAATTTTACTACATACCCTATGATCTATAAATATGGGACATTTCTTCTCGAAATGACTACCGAGTTTACTCGTTGAGAACGTGTGTTACTGTGCACTATACCTCTATCTCTCTTTCTATTTCTCTTGTCTGATCAAGACATTATTCTTTGGGTGTGGTTCACATGACATTTTTAAATTCAACAGAAAAATTTACATGCATGCATACCACTTGAGTCTTATAACTTACATATCTAACCCCTAAGTTTCAAATATTTGTGTATGCCATCTCACTTATGAATGAAAAATATGTTAAAATAATGATGTTTACATATTAAATATGAAAGATTTGCTTGATATCGCTGTGCAAAAAAATTGTTATTAGCTATGTAAAACGTAAGATTTGGGGATATGTACGTAAATGTCCCCCTTTTTTTATTTCCCGACGTAGTTTCCACCGAGCTAGGGCCAATGGGGGCCTCTGAATCTGTCATTTCCAAATTGCAGCAACAGGTAATCGTTTCCGCTTCTGCCAATCTCTTTCACCTTCTCAAGTCGGCTGTTAGCGTTAGGATTTCTCTTTTGAAGGACACAATCAAACAATCTTAGTTCTTACTTTTGGCAGCCAACGATAGATCAGGTCACTACCGTTTCTGAAAGGAAAGAGGACACTGACCCTATATTGGAGCGGATCCAGGCTTTGAAGATTGTGAGTTTTTTATTAGCAGTCCTCGAAAATTTCGGTATTCGTTGCTTTTCGCTTTCCGAATCGCTAAAAGTAGTTTTCATAATGCAGGCGACGCCGCTGCTGAGTTCCCAGCCGTCTTCAGAGGGTAGCTTGACAGATATCCTTGTCAGGAAACCCTCTTCTTCGTCCAATTCCACCATTCCAGGCAAGAACTTCCTTTCTGAATATTCATCTTTGCTTTTAGCATATTCTTACTTTTTCTATATTGGCTTATTCTAAGGCTCATGCTTGAATGCTGTTTTTGTCCGAGTTTGACTGGAAAATCTTGCATAATTTTTTTGGTCGTTTGACTATGAGATTGAGTGGAAGGTGAGGAGGGCTATAAAAGGTGTGATGAGTTTCAGAAGGTCCGCTGCATTAGAGTAATAATTTGTGGTCTTAGTGTTAGACTGAAATCCAATACACACTCAAGTAATTAAAGAGAAGCAAACAGAGAAGACATCTCATTTTTTACATGAAAAATTTTAGAAATAAGAAAAGAAAACGAAGGGTCTAGGAGAATTGAAATAATTCACTATGAATGATGAGTACACAAGTCCACTCTTCTCTTGAATTAAAAAAAATGGAATTACGAAGTTGAACATTATAAATGTACAACAGTAATTTATCGATAATAGTCATAGTATGACTATAATGAATGTAGTTTTTAATGATATCAAGCTGCAAGGGCCGTAGTCGATTGCTATAGAGATAGTAGTTCGTTGTTAATGTTGTAGATGATGGTTGTAACGCCAGTTTGTCATATAGACTATAGGCGAAAACTATGGTAGTAGTTGACCGTATGGGCTGTAAGTGACATTTTTTACGTGAAAAATTTTGGAAATCGGAAAAGAAAACGAAGGGTCTAGCCCAATTGAAACAATCTATTATGAATGGTGAGTACACATATCCACTCATCTCTTGAATTAAAAAAGAATGGAGTTACAAAGTTGAACTTTATAAGTGTACAACAGTAATTTATCGATAATAGTCATAGTATGACTATAATGAATGTAGTTCTTAGAGATATTAAGCTGTAAGGGTCGTAGTCGATTGCTATAGATGTAGTAGTTTGCTGTTAATGTTGTAAATGGTGGTTGTAACGCCAGCTTGTTATATAGGTCGTAGGTGAAAGCTATGGTAGTAGTTAACTGTGTGGGTTGTAAGTGGTTACGTTAGAAGCATCGGTCCACCACAGAGGCCATAGTAAGAAACTGCGAGAACTGTGAGTCACGTATGCCATAATGATGAGCTGTGATGACTTCCATAGACTGTAGAGGCGAGAGTCGGGAGTTGCACGAGCTGTAAGCTATGTAGGTCATAATTGGTTACATGGACCATAGTAGTGAGCTGCGACGACATCCTTAGGCCGTAGATGCCAGAGCTTGGAGCTGCTCGAGCTGTGATAACATCCGTATGCCTATCACATTCATCGGTCGCAAATGTCGAAGTTGGGTGCTGCACGAGTTGTGATAATATCTGTGGGTTGCGGAGTTCGGAGTTGAGAGCTGCACTAGCTGTGATGATGTCTGTAGGCTACAAAAATTGGAGTTGGGAGCTGCACGAGTTGTGATAACGTCTATGAGCCGTAGAGGATGAAGTTAAGAGATAAATTAAATGTGTCAACGTCCATAGGCCGCAGGAACTGAAGTTGGGAGTTGCACAAGCTGTGAACCAGATGAGTTGTATTTGATCACTTCGATTGTAGTGGTGAGCTGTGATGATGTCCATAGGCCATAAATGCCAGAGTTGGGAGTGTGTAAGTTGTATACCACGTATGTTGTAGATGCTAGAGTTAAAAGATGCACGAATTGTGAACCACATATGCTGTAGTGGTGAGTTGTGACGATGTCTGTATTCTGCGAAAGCTGGAGTTTAGAGCTGCACGAGTTGTGATCATGTCTGTAGACCGCAGATGCCTAAGTTGAGAGCTGCACTATATGTGATAACATTTATATGCCACAGAGGCTGGAGTTAGGAGCTGCACGAGCTGTAAATCATGTAAGTCGTAATTAGTTACATTGGCCATAACAATGAACTGCAATGACATTCGTAGGTCGCAAAGGCCAAAATCCGATGCTGCATAAGCTGTGGACCATGTAGGCCGTAGAGACCGGTGTTGGAAGCTACACGAGTTGTAATAATTTCCGTGGGCCGTAAAGAACAGAGTTGAGAGTTGCACTAGTTGTGATATTGTTTGTAGGCCACAGAGTCAAGAGTTTTGCTACACAAGTTGTGGACCACGTAGGGTATAGTTGGTCACAGAGGCGGTAGTGGTGAGCAACAATGATATCGATTAGCCATCAAGGACTGACTCAGAAGTTGCACAAACTATAGATCATGTAGGCCATAAAATTTAGAGTTGAGAGCTACACAAGCTGTGTACCATGTGGGCTGTAGTTGATCATGTAGGCCATAGTGGTGAACAATGATGATGTCCATAGTCCACGAATACCGGAGTCGGGAGATGCACGAGTTGTGGACCACGTAGTTCGTAGTTGGCCACTTAGGCTGTAGTGGTGAGTTGTAAGGACGTTCGTAGTCGTAGAGGCCACAGTCGAGAGCTTTAGGAGTCCGAAGTCACTGTATTTGAAGTACATTGTTACATGGTGTAATGGGCGACATATTATTTCATCATGTGCTTTATTGTTTCGCAATGTACATTGGGATTCTGCAATGTACATTGTGACTCTATAAGAGATTTCCCTGCAAGGAGTAGATGACAGCCGATGGTGGTTAACGGTTGTCAGCAGTTGTAAGGTTGGGAGGAATTCGCCAGATCTTCAGTGTAAAAATGATTCCGAGCTTTTACCCTCTCTCTAAGATCCAGTCACCTTCTGCTTCTAGCCTCAGGTCCCCTTTTAAGAGGGGGATAAGACTCTATTTATAGAGTCCAGATAGCAAATAAGAAAGTAATTTGTACACTCTGATTGGATGGCTGGGGAGATTCTCTCAATCAAACAGTATTATGTGGACATTTAAGTGCTTGAATGATGTCGAAATTGAGTGATTTTGGGCTCTTTGGATTCAGCTTGTCGAGACGCTCGATTTAGCTATAAGTTTTGTCATATTCAAAATCTGTTTGAACTTCTAATTATGCACTGAAACTTCTAAAAGTAGCTTAACAGCTTGATTTGGGCTTGATTTGACTTGAATTAAACTAATTTTGATATCATTGGGTCCGTTTTGTCAAGTTGATAAGTTTGACTATAAGTTTGTTGAAATCAGAATTTTGAATGATTTTTAATCAAAATTTGAACATTTATTATTCAAAAAATTATCTTAAGATTTGTGTTATGCCTCAAGATTTATGCCAGATGATGGAAATTTGTTGATGACATTTCAAGGAGTAAAGTTTGTTAGCAAGGTACGGGGGAACATTAAAATTGTCTAATTATGTGATTTCATGAACAACAATCAAGTAATATTTGCAAAATCATAAACTACGAATAGCAAGTTATTTCACAATAATGCAACGTATTCAATTTTTAAATATAAGCTTTCATGAACTACGATAACTTATTTTTTAGGTGATTTTCGTGATATTGCATTTTTCGATTTAAGGTGTGGCCCCATTTCAAGGAGGGCATCTAGTTTCATTTAGTGAAATTAATCAAGAAGCTAATATTTGCGTCCAATCATGCAACCTTAGAGACAGTTTGTGGAGATTTAGAAATTGGCTAGTTCTAATGTGGGGTGCAGGTAATTACAGTGGAATTACTGCTTCATTCGTTTGCAATGAAAAAATTACTTTGTTTTTTCCTTTATTTTTTTGGTGTGGCTGTTGAATTAAAATCGAGTATGAACATGACAAAATTTGCAACATAGAACTTGACGAATTGATTCATAGGCTGAGTATGTGATATGGGATGGTAAAATATTTTTAGTTGTAGTTTGAGTTTTTAGATAGTTTGAATGGGTTCTTATGTCAAAATAGACGCTCTTTGGCCATTTTCTAACTTTGCTATGAGGGTGAGTTGATTCTTTCAGTTGGGAAGCTTGTATTTGAATTTGAATTGACTCTTTTTTGACTTCTATCCATTGAATATTGTAGTTAATACAAAATATATGATATTTTATTAAAGACAAGATTTGTCCTCATATATTTTATTTTTTACTTTTGCAGGGTCCCAAGCCCCAAGTGTGAAAATTGGAGGGTTGCATCAGGTGATAGACAACCAGCGTAAAATTTATCAAAAAATCATGACATGTATCCAATTGATCATTGTATAAATGCTCGGACGTCCCTTGGAAGCGACGTGCCGTATAACCTAAATACAGTGAAAAGTGTGTTAGGGCTGCTACACGCGTGCCCAGGTAAATATCGAAAATTCTTATATTGCGGACGAATGCATATAAATAAGTTAGTTTACGAAACTAATTTAGGATATGATCTCGGAATATAGATACCCTCACAGGTAAATTAATCAAATTAGTTGATATTATGATTCATAGAAAGATAAATATCTTATGTATTCAACAAACTAAATGGGTTGGAGAAAAGACTAAGGAGATTGACAACTTAGATTTTAAACTTTGGTATTCAGGTATGAGTCGCACCAGAAATGGTATAAGTGTAATTATAGATAAGAGTTTGAAAGATAAGAAAATAGATAAGAGTTTGAAAGATAATGTTGTAAAAATTTATAGAATTTGAGATAGAATTATCGTCCTCAAAATTATTATTGATACTAAGATTTTTAATATTATAAGTGCCAATGTGATCCCAATTTTTGTATGTAAAGATTTATGAAGTTGACACCACTACAACGCCAAAAACTTGATTCTTATATGAAAAATAACTTGTGTAAAATATATATAATTATAGACAATTAATAATGAGATTCTATGCAAGTATACGTATCGTTATCAAGTAATAATGAATTTTCTATTTAAGCCCAAAATATTGATCCCACGGGAAATGTGTAAGTTAACAATGATAAATTTTATCAAGAAATTTACAGAAAATCAAACAAAATCAATGTCACTAATTTCAAATGTTGAGATATTAACCAAACTAAATTACTTAACCATTAGCAAAACAAAAATGTAAATTTTGAATAATAATTATTAATCTACTAACTATATTTATGTAATGAAGATTTCTTATGTGAAAAAGCATCATTCCCACTACAATAAAATTCTGGTGAAATGGTGAAATGAGAT